ATTATCTATGTTTATTTTTAAAGAAAACAGGAAGTCTTTTCTTCACATTTTAAATATTTCCTTATACTTCATAACACACTAAACTACATTAAAATTAAAACAGATGATTCTATATCACACAAAGAGAAAATGATTTGTCAGAATGAACGTATTTATCTTCTTATAAAACTCTTTTTAAATCATACGGTTTTGAACAAATTACTTCCATGTAAAAGCACAAGATCTAGAGACACATGGCTTGGATTCAAATACTGACTCTGCCATTTCCTATCTGGGGCCTTTATGTGGAAAGTTACTTAGCCATTCTATGCCTCATTTTCCTCTCTTGTAAAATGGAAATGAGAATGAAGATTTATCACAATGAGTTGTTGTGAGGATTAGAGAGCCCAGAGCACAGCCTGACATATATTAGATATTCAATAAATACTAATGAGTTATTGTGATAGTTATTATTTTAAGTCTCAGATTTTTAAATGTGTTCTCTTAGATGAGTTTGCTAAGATAATGTCCATCACTATTTATTCGACCAATTTCTTGCAGAAGTATTACATGCAAACAGACTACACATCTATGCAAAAAAAATAAAAAGTGCTATTATTGGAAAATATCATTATGACAGATTTGGTGCCAATGTGACAGTTGATTAATTCATGTTACGGCACCTCTGATACTTCACAATATTTAATTCATTCAATTACACAAACACTTTCTCAGTCAAAATACACTGATATAAAGTAGACTTCCTATTTATAAAAGTCTAAAAATTTTTTAAAGAGAAACAACATTCAAATGGTATTTATTAGCCATCTTTTGTCCTTGTTTTTGCCTCTTTTTCTTTTGTGCTTTTTCTTAGGCAAGTCACTCCAGTTCAAGCCTTTAAACATAACCCTGAACACATTAAATTGGAGTGTACACTATGTATACCATCACACAACACGATTCCACACTCTCATTCCACAGTGAGTTTAAATGTCAAACCTCCTGGAAAAACTCAAGATTCCTCTCCTTCCTCTGAGCATCTCCCCCTCCCAGACCGGCCACCTTGCTTCTCCTGCAATGGGCCACCCAGCCACAGAGGCATCTCCTGGAGAACAGCAACTCTGGTATCTCTAGCTCTATGTACGCTTTGCAATCAGGCGGAACTCACTCCAAGTCCCAGATCTATCGCTTATTAAGTATGTGACCTTATAAAAGTGACCTCTCTGACCTTGTTTCCTCATCTGCAGCTGGAAAACTACTGGTGTCCACTTCAAAGAAATGTAGTAAGAGTCAAGAGTAAAGTGCGTGGACGTCGTAAGTTGTCAAAAGATGTTACTTTCAATTTTTCTTACCCTTCTCTATTTTTCCTTTTTTCTGTAACACTTCTCATCTTCTTTATTTTAACAAATTACATTTAAATTTTCCAAAAAATTAAACAAAGCCATCCGATTCATACATCATTGATGCTTTTGTTGTAGGCAGTTGAATCTGTCAGCTGTGCTGCTGATCTACTATCGCCCTCTCTCTTTTTGACAATGTCAGTGACTCTTGACCCTTTGTCACTATTATGTGGTCAGTTTGTGTCCTTGCAATATTGAACAAGAGGCAGGACACTGCAGTATGACCCTCAGAAGAATATAGTGACTTTCTTAAACAGAACCATGCAGGCTTGTGAATAAAAGCCTTCCAAAATTCTTTTTAACCTGCAACTAGGGGGAGGTTTTAAAATACAACATTTTAGGGATGTATATAGCTTCATCCTCACTCAAAATGCCATCCTTTACCATGATGAAAACTACATAAAGATAATTAACAAAGTCACCAAAAGGTCTACCTTAAAAAAATAGATATCTAAAATTTTTTCTGTGTATGTCGAGTTTAGTGAGATTTATTCTATTAATATAATTATGACCTATTAATATTATAATGAAAATAAGAACACATTATTTACAAATATTGATTATATATTATGTTTATATAAACATTTAAATTATAATACTAAAAATAAAAGTATACATATAAAAGCAAACACAGGTTTATAGCAATATTCTGTGACTTTGAAATTATAAGTCATCTAGAAACAATCTTAATGCTTTTATTTAACTTTAAAGAAAATACTATTACTATTGTTAAAATAAATTTTAAATATAGAGGATTGCAAAACCTGAAGCAGTTCCCTTAAAAAGAAAGTATATTCCCCTGCATACTGTACAATATAAAAAATAAATATTTTAATACTTTTACTACATTAAAAACTATTAATCTGCAAAAATAGCTAAAATAGCTTTGATATGTAATTTAAAACATGTGGTTAAAGAAAAGAATTTGATAAACCTCAAGATAGAATGCTAAGTAAAACCGAGTGTGTGTGTTGACCAAGGCACACTGTGGCATTACTTTGTGGAGCCGATCAATAGATATTAGCTTTAAAAAAAAAGAGATATAGAAAGAAGCTGCAGCGTATTTTTAGAATGACAGTGAGAAGGTTTAAATTGTCTCAATCAAGACTCAATTTTTTCTTCTCAGTTTTTCTAGCTGTTCTCTTCCAGTTAAGACTCTTCATTTCAAATAAATTTAATTAGTTCCAATTGATCATAGCTAACACCGTTTTATCCATGGTTCTTTTATAAGGCAAACACTAACAAAGACTGCTGGTCACAGATTCAAGTGCCATAAGACAACATTCATACCTCATTCAATTCTCACCCAAAAGAAAAATTTCAGAAAGATATTCTGCCTATGGCAAAAGCACTAAGTTATACTTCATATTTTAATTGCTATCTTAGTAGGTCGTTTAACTGAGTTAATTACAGAATTAAGTTCCAGATGACTACAAATATAAAATTAATACAACTATGCAAATTAGCCTAACTCTAGCCATCAAATAAGAATCTATTCAAAAAAAGGAAAATAGCTTTCATGATATGATTTCTATTTATTTTATGAGGAAATATTATTAGAGCAATTCTTTCCAAATAAGTTGAAAAAGAAAACAAAAAAAGATTTTTCAAAGTGAATGGCTAATGTGACCTGTTTTCCCTTTTGTATTTGTGCTCTACAATTCTGGCTGTCCCCAAATAAGATTATTGTGCTTGAAACAGGTTTTTCTCTATGCATCTACCATATTTTTCATAATGCAATTTATATAGGATTCTAGTCAATAAAAAGAAATATGGTTTTCTTCTAAACCCTCCCAAAAATCTATACCACATCTTAATCAAGTCACACAATCTAAAGGTAACCTGAACGGCCTACAGACTGCAGCATGCTAGTCGCTTTGACAACATGTGAAGGAAGCCTTTTTTTAGTTATTTAAATTCTTTGGATATTGACCATTCTTGCCTCTAGTATCCATGGCATGCAATGAATAAATCAACTGATAAAGCCATTCGTCACATATGTTTAACTGAACTTCTTACAGATTAAAAAATACTTTGTGCAGCATTAATTGACTCTCCAAAACTAGATTTTCATTTTTAAGCTTCTTGATTTTTTTTTTTAAACAATCAAATAAAAGCACACTCATGTGCTACAATGCTGTCTTATGACTTTGGTGGTGCATAATTCAAAATTTCAATGTGCTGATTTAATAATGCTTATTTGAGTGCTCGAAAATTTCTTTTATTCCAGAATGCAAGTTGAGTTAGTCTTTTTTCTATAAATTAATCACTACTTTTTATAGACAGAAGGCCTTTAAAATTTACAAGAAATTAAAATGTAACAAAACATTTATAACACCATAAAATAAAGCGATAAAAATAGACTAAAACAAAAACTAGTTTAAAAAATCTGCAAATAATTTACTTTAGTAGCTACTGAAATAAATTCCACAATTGTGACGTGCAAATGACGTTCAGAAAAGTTGAACGTTTCTGAAATAATGTATATTTAAGGCAGATGATTTTAATCAATGAACTGATACATTAAAAATAACTTAAAAATAACAAGTAATAGCCATCACCATCGTCTCATTTTTCCTGAAAACCAGATGCTCCCCAACTTAGTCAACTACTTATTGGCAGCAGTGGCACAAGCTATGGGTTTTGTGATACAGGCTTTGTAAATTTTCAAGGGAGATCATTAGGCTTCTTCCCAGTGAAGACACTTTAAAGGCATTCAGATGGTAATAGTAAAGAACCTGCAACACAAAGCTTTAACAGAAAAAAAAAGCTTCTGTTTTTTTCTCCCTTTAAGTTTTGTTGAAAATGGTACTGGTATTTTCTGGGCATGCTTCTTTTCAAATTATTGATTACTATTAAGTTAATATTTGTTGCTTCATAATAATTATAGATGTGTATCATCAGATTTTACATTTTAACCAACCTCATCAAAAAAAACCCACAAAAGTTTATCATCTTAACACCAAGAAAAACCTATACTAGGTTGTTTCTATCTACTGTGCACTGGAAGAAATTGAGCCGAATGCTTTTGTGGATCCAGTAATTGGAACTGCTTTAAGTCTATAAAAAGATAGGCTAGGCTGAACATAGGTGCTGTACAGCTTTCCTAAATTTTACTTTATGTCTAGTTATGTGACAAATAACATAGATAAGAATGTTCAATACTCGAGCAATGTAGATAACTTAAAAGCAGCATTTATTTCTATAATATAGGTACAAAGTATATCTGAAAGTTTCCTTACGTAGCCTATATTGCATATATTGCTATTACATCTTACCCTATAATTGCAAAACCTTTCATAACATGATAGGTGTATTCCTTAACAAGTTCCAAGGCTTTAGTAATGATCCTAGCCTCTGAATTAGAGGGTCCCCAGAAAATCAAATGCATAGCCGGCAGGTTCATTGTTACAGCAACAATGAGCAAGCCAAATAAACATTTCCTCTCCTTTACAGTTCAAGATCAAAAAGGACACTAAACAGTCCTATAAAACTAAACACTCCATCGATGCAGGTTTCCATCCTTTCCATCAACATATTTAGTCCCATTATAAATGACCTAAAAGCATTTTCCAATATTGGACAAGGCTCATCCAGATAATGTTAAAGATGCCTCCTTACCGGTCGTGATGTCATCATCTACGAGGTCGTGCTCTTCCTCTTGGACTTTGGCTTCTGGCCCCGAGGTAGTATCAGGAGCCGTGGTGACTGTCTGCATGGCTTCTGCTGAGACCCCAGCTATAACAAATGAGAATTGCAAGGTTTAATTTTAAGATCTGTAAGAAAGGTAGATCTAAACTCTTAAACTCTTAAATCTTTTTTGCTTACTGGCTGCAAATGCCATACATTTAAAACAATATAACATATTCACCAAATTTAGAAAGAGACACAAAGTAATGAATCAAACATTCATGTGTGTTCTGTTTCTTTAGACGTACATATACATACATGGGTGCAAACAAAATTGACTTTTTTTCACTAAGATCTGGGGAAAACAGAAAAATGATTAAATAATATTTTTACCTGAAGTAAAAATGTTTTTACTTGATTCCTTTCAACAATTTTGCTACAGGTATTTTAGCTGATTTAGACATAATTATGCTCAAAAAAGAAAAAAATCTAGACGTGAAGGACTAATTTAAAATTTACTCTCTTTGATATTAGTTTGCTTATAATTTGGAGCTGGGAAGAAGGATGGTGACAAAAGAGGGATTTGTGCCCTGGGTCAATGTAAGAGACCTGACATGCATTGCAGAAAGAGTATAACGTATCCATCTATGAAGAAATTAGATATTAGCTCAGATAATTATCACACTGAAAGAACCTAACTGAAGCAGACAGGTGATCTAGATCAGGGTTCCGAAAGCTTCCATTCTGTAAAATCACCTGAGAACTTGGTAGTCCATACAAATATCTTTTCCTGACTCACCTGTCTTCTCATCCCTGATAATTTATTTTGTTGTCAATTTATATCTACCACATTATTTCTAAATAGGCAATGAAGAGTAGGGTGACTCAATATTTTTCTTATGGTTATCAACAGATACTGCTTGATCATGGCATATAAAAATCTCACTGTTGGAAGTTACTTTAGGAGGTGAATCTTCTAATCAAATCTTCTTAATAAGTACTTCAATAACTGCATGTATAGTAGCCATCAAAATTTAAAAACCAAAAGCTACAAATACTCAAGGATTTCTTTTCTTCCAACGTGTATTAACTTAAACACTTCTCTGTGAAATTCCACCTTGCTGCCTCTGGTTTATGAAAGGCACCAAGATAGGAAGAATCTTAGTCATTAACCACCATGAGTGATCCAGAACTAGATCTATCAGGAGACAGCTCCACAGCCTAACAATTTAAGTTTGGGGAAGAGAATATACCATGTTGTACTACCACTATCTTCAGAATTGCTACTACAAAAAAGTGAACAGTGCTATATCAATGGCCCCTGCTGAATGCAAAATGACAATGCCATCCCTTTGCAGTAACATTTTGTTGTCAGATTTTCAAGATAAAATATTAAAATAATAGAGAGGGATTACTAGAAATGTAGTATTAATTGCTTAAGTAAAATAATCGCAAAGAGGATATAAGAAAGTAAAGGCCACATTCCTAAATATTTATTGCTTAAATACAAAATCAAAGATCATTATTAAATCAAAATATAAATCTCTGAAGTCTCTCAATATTGTTCCTTGCTTAACCCTTGATAATTTTGAAAATGATCAGAGAAACAGGGAAAAGATATTAAGAAATAGTTTAGATAGTAACATTTATCAGTAGTATTTTTCTTTCCTGTAAAATTAAAAGGTTCCATGAAAATAAAGCTGGCATTTATGTAGCAACCAGTTTACAAATCCACTTAAATTGATCTCTTTTAATCAGAGAGGTTAAGTAATTGCTCAAAATAGCACAGGTACTAAATTCGAGAACCAGAACTGCCATGTAGGTCTTTTGATTTTAAACCCCAATATCCTTTGATCACCAAGTCCTTCCAGGGGCAGAGTTCCAGGATAGGAGGTATGACAGAACACTACAGCATAACCATGACAAATCATGAAATAATATAATACTCAATATAAATATTGTCAAGCCCTCCATGGAGTTCTTTGGCTATATGAGGTAACAGTTCAATTGAGAGAGTTCAGTACTTTGGGACAGAGCTTAAGGAGCAAACATGTATACCTCAAAGTAGCCAAGGTTGAAAGACCATGTAGCTATTCTGAAATTGAATTTTTGATTGCTGCTTTCAAAGTAATGGGTATAAAATCCTTTTTCTCTTGACAGAAAAAATGAAAATACAAAGACTAAAAGAAAACTACAAATCAATATCTCTAATAAATATAGTCTCAAAAATCCTCACCATAATATAAGCAAATAAAATTCAGTAACATATAAAAAGAATTATACACCATAAGTTAGGTTTTTTCCAAGGATGCATGTCTGATTATATATTCAAAAATCAATCAACATAATCCAAAATCTTAAGCTAAAAAAAATCATATGATCATTTGAAGCATTTGATAAAATTCAACGTCACAATTAAAAAACTCAGAAAAATAAGAATAAAGGAGAAGTTCCTCAATTTAATAATGAAGAGCATTTACTAAAAATCTATAGCTAATATTATACTTAATAGTGAAAGACTGACTACTTTCCTCTTGTGGTCAGGAATAAAGTAAAGATGTCGACACTAGCCACACTTATTTATTTTTAATATTATATTAGTTTTAATATAATATTTATAATATTATATTAGTTTTAGGTGTACAACATGGTGATTAGACATTTACATAACTTATAAAGTGATCACCTTGATAAATCTAGTACTCATCTGACACCATACATAGTTATTATAATATTATTGACTATATTCCTTATGCTGTACTTTACATCTTCATGACTACTTTTTAACCACCAATTTGTACTTCTTCACTCCTGCCCCATTTTCACCCATCCCCTCAACCCAACTCGCATCTGGCAACCACCAAAATGTTCTGTGTATCTATGAGTTTGTTTTTGTCTTACTTCTTCGTTTTTTTTTTTGTTCTTGGCCCCTTTTATTTAACATAGTGTTGGAAGTTCTAGCCAGTGCAATAAAGCAAGAAAAGGAAACATATACCATTTGGAAAGGATGAGGTAAACTGACCCTATTTAAGGATAAAATGATCATCTACATAGAATATACAAAGGAATCTAAAAATAAGAAAATTGAACTAATGAGTACAGCAAGGCCTCAGAATACAAGAAAAAAATATTTTAAAAAATCAGTCATATTTCTATATGCTAGCCATGTGAACACCTTAATTTTAAAAAAAAATGCTAATAATAATGGTTCAAAAACTGAAATATTTAGATGCAAATTTCTATATGCTAGCCATGTGAACACCTTAATTTAAAAAAAAATACTAATAATAATGGTTCAAAAACTGAAATATTTAGATGCAAATCTTAAAAAAAAACATACAGGACTTGTATGCTGAAACCTACAAAACATGGATGAAAGAAATCAAAGAAGATCTAAATATATGAAACAGAGAGCCATATCATGTTAATGGGTTAGAAGAATCAACATACTAAAGATATCTATACTCCACAGACTGATATACAGGTTTAATGTAATTCCTATCAAAACCCCAGCACAAATTTTTTTAGATAGAGATGAAATTATTCTACAATTATATGTATAGACAAAGAAATTAGAATAGCTAATAGAATTTTAAAGAGAAAAATAAGGTAGGAAAAATGAGTCTGCCCCATTTCAAAACTTATCATATAAAGTTATTAAAACATGTGGCTTTTGGTTAGTAGATGCACACAAATAGGCCCAACTGGTATTTGACAGGTGTAAAAGCAGTACAATGGAGGAAACACAGTCTCTTCAACAAATGGGCTGCTGCCACTGGATGTTCATAGATAAAAATACAAACTCTGACCTAAGGCTCACTCCTAATATAAAAATTAACTAAAAATGAATCATGGAGTTAAATGTAGAACAAAGAAATATAAAGTTTTAGAGAAATAAAAGAAGAAAATCTTTGAGATCTAAAGCTAGACTTGATACCAAAAGCACAATCCATAAAAGGAAAAAAATTGGTAAACTGGACTTCATCAAAATTAAAAACTTTTATTCTAAAAAAGGCCCTATTAAGAGGATAAAAAGACAAACTACAAACTGGGAGAAGATTCACAAATTACATATCCAACAAGAGACTAGTACCTAGACTATATAAGGTACTCTCAAAACTCAACAGCAAACAGTCTGGCAGTTCCTCTAAAGGTTAACCACAGAGTTATCCCACGACTCAGCTACCCACTCCCAGGGAATAAAAACCTGTGTCCACACAAAGACTTGTACATGAGTGTTCACAGCAGCATTGTTCATAAAAGCCAGAGTGTTTAAACAATCTGAATGTCCATCAACTGGTGAATAAATGTAAAATGTATCACAAATATTTTAGAATCATGAAAGTAAGCTGTATCTTGATTGTGGGAGTGGAAATATTACCATTCGCATTTGTTTAAAACTCATAAAATTGTACACTAAAAAGAGTCAATTTTACTGTATAAATTATGCCTCAATAAACCCAACTTAAAAAAAAGATACAATCAAAGGTACTACATATCACTGTCCTAAAGAAAATTGAGGATTTTGAGGATTATGCCAGAATACAATGCTATTTCAATGAAACACAAAGACTAGAAAAATTGTTTTATTTTCTTCCTAGTATAAAAAACTAAATTATCTGAAACATAAAAATCACTTCATCACTATCCACTATCAATAAGATAATACAATATTCCTGAGAAATATGAAGAGTCCACATAGAAAATACATGGAACCTTCAGTTTCTTGCACATTGATAGTCAAGATTATAAATATCAATTCTTTATATGGTGTTACTTTGCTTTTCTCTTACATATTTGATATAAGTAAACTTACTTGTCAAACTGTGCTATAAAATCAAAGCCTTATTTACTTTCTGAGTATCACCATAATATCTGGCAGTAATGAACATCTCATAAAAGTTCAATAAACACATTTTGAATAGAACTGAATACCTTCAATCCCATGACACAAATTATATTTTTAAATATATTAGAAAACAATAAGTGTGCTTTGGGGAAAGATATACAATAAAAAGGTACAATAAAGAGATGATAAAGAGATAAAGTAAAGGGATACAATAAAAATACACGAAAAATTAATGGAAAGAAGTGAGATACTTAAAAAA